TGGGACATTTCACCATCCACAGGTTTAGGTTTTCCCTGGAAAAAATCCCCAAATTTGACAGATTAAAAACACTTCCTATCAAAAAGAGGAGTGGGTGTTTTTAAAAAAACATTTTAACTGCTGTGGAAAAGTAGTTATTAACAATCCCCTACTTTTGTAGACCACTTTTTTTAAAAACATAGTTTTGCCATCCACGGGGGTTTTAAGGGAAAAAAAAAAAAAGGAAAGGGCCAACCCTTTTATTTCTCCACCTTCAAAAAACTAGTCTGGCTAAGGTTTTCCCTGAACCCAACTAAATAAATTTAACCTTGATCATGCTCCAGCAGTATGTCAAAACATAAAAATACTTACTCCATTCATTTCAATCTAATTTTTGTCACACCACCTGCTGGATCCCAAAGGACTAATACTTCAAAATTCTCCTTTTCCCCCTCCCCCCCCTGGAATGAAGCCTACCCCCCTACCTTCTAAGGCAGCACCCTGAATGTATCCTTTTTTTCTTTGAAAAAAAAGATATATACACTCTCTGGTTTATTTTATTATGCTCCATCCTCTCTAAATGCTACAACCACCTCAAAAACCCCCTTCTCACCCCTATGAATTATACCTCTGGTAGCCCTTTCCTTTTTTTTAATTCTTATGCTTTAAATTTTCTTTTCAAAAATTTCAAAAACCACACTGCTTTTTCCCAAATTTTTTTTACGAAAAAAAAACCCCGGGGGGGGGCCTTTCCGGGGGAAAACATTTAAAGCCAATGAAATGTTTTGGGTCCCACTGAACTCGCAACTTTTTCCCCTTTTTTGCCTCCCCCAGGGACCTTTTTTCCCTTTCCCCAAAAAGGGGCCTCTCCCAACACCACCTCCCTTTTTCCCCCTTGGGTCTATTATAAGGTTTCTAAGGTTTGGCTTGTCTTTTATTTGCCTATCAGTAAACTAATTTGGACTGTCATTGTATATTAAGAATTTTATCATGAATAGAAAATTTACAGGGTCCTGTCATTTCCCCTTTTTTGGAAAATAATTCCCAACTTGGTATATGTCCTTTTGGGAAGGGTAAAATTTTTTTTCCTTGGTATACGCCCCTTCCCTTTGGGGAAAAAGGGGGCCTCCGGGGGGTGCTAGAAATTTTTTGGGGGTTTCAAAATTAATATACAATATTAAAGCGCAAGAGAGAAAAAATACACATACAGTACCCTCATTAGTTACCTTTAAAATTTTTTTTTGTCCCTTAAAAATGGACGAGAGGGTTTAAATATTTATTTGGGAGGAATCAGGGGGGTTTGGGAGGGATAGGGTGTAGTAGGGCCCGGGTTACCCCCCTTTTGCTAGTGAAATTTAATGCGGCCAAGGAGGGCCAAAATTATTTACCAGGGGAAAAAGGGGACCAGTTTTAACGTTTCTAAAAATACTTCAATTTTAATTTTTAAAAAGGGGTTTAATTAAATTTAATTCCCTAAAAAAAACCGAAAAAATTACTGTAACAAAAAGCAAGGAAAAAATAGTGGGCTTAAGACCCATAAAACAATTCATCAAAGGGTTTTTTCTGGTGCTGGACCAGGAAAATGTAATGTTTTCCCCCGCCTGGCTATCACCCCCCTCCATTGCACAAACATAAAACATGTTTATTTTCTTGTAAAAATTTTTTCTTGGATAATTTTGAAGAAAAAATAGATGGATTAATGAAAAAAGTTTATATTAAAAGTAAAAAAAGACATTTTTAAAGTAAAGTTTAAAAAACCTTTTGAGCTTCTTCCCGGTTCCAAAAAAGGTTTAAAAAGACAGAAAAGAAAGGGGCCCCCCTTCCAAAAAAATAAATTTTTCCTTTCCCCCTTTCCCCCCTCAGGGAATAAACCTAGTAGGGGGACTCGACCCCCTTTTCAGCAAAATAAAGTGAGGGTTAAAAATTTTTATTTAATTTTATCTAATTTTTTAGTATTTTTGTATGTAAATTTTTGTAATTTTTTTAGTGTTTAAATTACATAATTTTAAAAATTAAGGAGTGGAAAATTTCATATTTTAGTATCAAACAGTGTTTAAAAAAAAAAAATAAAACCCAAAGTTTAATAGCCAATAAAAAATTTGGTTTTTTTTTTTGGGAACGGAAATTTAAACGTTTTCCTTATATTTCCCTTTGGGAAAATTTTGTTTGGTATATGGGCCTGTTTGGGATAAAGTCCAAAAGGGCCTGGAATGGATTAAAAGGGTGTATACCGACGGACCCACTGTTTTTAAATAGAAAAAAAAAGAAAATTTCTATGTTTCAAATACTACTTTTTTAAAATTTTTTAAAATTTTCAAGCAATTTGCAAATTTTTCCAAAATGGATCCCTTAGTATTTTCATCAATTTTAATTTTTAAAGAAGGGGAATTTGTAAAAAGGGGGAAAAAACCATCCAAAAATGAAGTACCCACCCGGATCCTTAAACCCTTTTTCTGTCTAGGGCAGGGGGCGGGGAACCCCCGGCCCATGGGCCCACACCCGGCCGGCGTAAGGTTTTCGTACAGCCCGCCAAAATTAAAAACCCGGACAAATTTTAGGGGGGGTTAGGGGTTGAATCTATGGAAAAAATTACCAAGGGTTTAAAAGTCCCCGGGAAAAATTTTCTTCTTATCCTCCCTCCTTTGTGTTTTTTTCCAAAACCTGTTTGTTGTCTGGTTTTATTAAAAAAAACTTTACAAAAAGGGATTTTTGCATCAAAACAATAAAAGGTTATTTTTTTTTTTTTTTTCCCCAAAAAAGTCGGCCGTCTCCCACCGAGGCCGGGGGGGACCCAAAAGGAAAAGGGAAAATCCCCAAAAAGAAAATACTTTCATCATCCATTCCCCAATTTTCCCCCTCCACACATAAAACACGTTTTTGCAAAGGGTCTCGGGAAAAAAGTTTAAAGCATATACGTACGTATAAAATACAAAACATATCCCACCAAACTGGGTAATATCCCAAAAAAAACCCCCTTTTGAGTGCAGGCATTGTACTTCCCCCTTTCCCGGACTCAAGTCCGGCTATATAAAAAAAAACCGGGTTTCCCCTGAATACCTTCACTAAATAAATTTCCCCCGCTCAAAAATCCCAAAAGATCGGCAAGTCCCAAATGCCATTTGGGCTCCATTCAAAAGCCTATCGAACCCCACCGCTCATGCAAACCCCTTGGCCGGGGAAATTCCCCAAAGCCCCCTCGCCCAAACCCCCAAAAACTCCCTTACCCCTTCCATCCCAACTTTTTCGAGGAAGACCCCCTACCCACCCCCTTCCCCCCTACAGATTTTAAATTTTCTTTTCCCAAAATTTTTTAATTTTTTTCCCACTTTGTTTCCCTTCTCCTCTAAATGACCAAAACCATCCAACAAAACCCCCCTTTTAGCCCTTTTGACTTTTAAATTTTATTAAACTCCACACCCTTTCCTAATTTTCCCCACTCTGAATTTTTTTGCTTAAAATTTAACAAACCTCCAAAAATTGGGGTTTAGGCCGGGGGCATTTTCACCCGCCTCCAAACCCCCCTTTCCCCGCTGCGGGATTTTTTCAACCCCCAAATTCACCCCCCTATAAGAGTGTTTGGGACACTATACTTTAATTTTATTCCCCCTTTTTTGCCTCCAAAAGGGTAACGTTTTTTTGACTCCACATATATCTCAACGCACCCCTCACCTTTTTTTTTTTTTTCATCAATTCTATGATTAAACCCCATCCTCATAAACCCCTCCGCCCACAAGTCAACCCCAAGTATTTTTGAAAACATTTTAATTCTTCCTACTCCTCCTCCCCCCTTTTTATATCCAATTTTTTTTTTTAAAAATCATTTGATTTCTCCCCATCACCTTACTCTTTTTCTATTTCACTTTCAAAATTTCTACCTTTACCCCAAAACTTTCCCCAAACCCACCAATAACCTTTTCAATTTTTTTTTGAATCTCCCATAACACAGTATCATCGCAAAAAAATAAACTGTGTCAAAATTTCCCCTTTTGAAATTTTATTCCCCCTAATTTAATCCCCCAACCCCTCCCCAAGAACACCCCAAACATTTACTTTTTTTACAACCCCCTCTATAAAAATAAAAATTTAAAAAAACCATTTGGGGACATTTTTCATCCCTGTCTAAGAAACCTTTTCTTTTACCGGGAAGTAGTCTCCCTCTCTTTACCCCAAAAACCCCCAAACCCGAAACCCATTACCTCATAAAAACTCTTTAAAAAGCATTTAGTAACTTACCACCTACAGTGGACCCCCCCCCGAAGCGGAAAATTTAATCTGCAAAAGGGCTTTTCGTTAAACCCAAATGTTTTGCTTTTTCAAATTAAATTTTCCCCCTAAGAAAAAAATGGAAAAAAAAATTAATTTGTTCAAACACCCCAAAAGTATTAAAAAAAAATTTTTTAAAACCCCAAAAAAAAAGTTAATTTTAGTCACACAAAAATGAAAAAGGGATGCACAATTTACATGACAAATTACTTTTAAATTTAAGATCTGGTGATGATTGAAAGGGAGGGGGGGAGGGGAGGGAGTGGAGGTTTAAAGGGGAATCCCCTTCCATTAACCCTTTGGGGGAGGCCGTCCTTTTCCGGGGTTACTTCCCTTCTTTTTTTAAATGCCACTAAAAGGGCCCGGCCCTTTGAGTCACTGGAACCTTTTTTCCATTTGGGGATCCCCTGTACCTCCCGTTCCTTTTTCGATTTGTCTTTAAAAAGGGCCATAAATTTGTCATTTAAATTGGGGGGGGGGGAACCCAGCCCGCCTTGCAACCAGCTGTTTCGGGTTAAATTTTCTCCATAAAAGTTGCAGTTTCAACCCACTTGCCAAAATTTCCCTTTAAATTTTTGGGGAAAAGGCACAATGGATTCCCAACTTGGAAAAGGCTTTTTTCAGGGGGTTTAACCCCCAAAACTTCAAACTTTTTTAATTTTATACTAATTCCACCCTTTTTACCACCCGGGTTTGGGGACTAGAAGCTTTCTTGGGGGCCATGGTCACTTATTTTCAAAAACAGAAAACCCAAAACCCCGGGAAAAATTACGAAATATTTCCCCAGTGTATG